AGACAGACAGACAGACAGACAGACAGACAGACAGACAGACAGACAGACAGACAGACAGACAGACAGACAGACAGACAGACAGATAGATAGATAGATAGATATACATGCAAACTATTCTTAATGAGTATTAATGTTAATTTTAGCTTAGGTTTTAATAGTTTTTGCTATGTGCTTTTGTCATTTATTATAAGTTAAACATTTATATACAGCACAGTTTTATTTTATTTTTATTTCAGTTTGTCATTTTAGTACTTTAACTCTTTTTTAGTTCGTTGCAACATTTCAAATGTTCAATTCATAGTTTTAAGTCTAAAGTTTTTCATCTAACATTTATATTTTATTTCAGATTTATTTAAATAAAAAATACATTTTTAATAGTTTTACTTTTAGTTAACAGTAACAACACTACACAGAAAAAATCATATTCTTAATGATTATTAATGTCTTATTTTCCAATGAAAAATCGAAAAACTCTTGAAACAAGATGTTAGCATTTAATGTTAATTTTAGTCTACGATTTAGTCATTTTGTTATGTGCTTTTGTCATTTTTATTAAACTTTTATATTGTTAAACATTTATATGCAGTGTAGCTTTAATTTATTTTTATTTCAGTTTTAGTCATTTTATTAAATGGCAACATTTCTAATTTTCATTTTTTTTTTTTTTTTAGTTTAACGTTTTGAATCTAACATTTACATGTTTTTTAAAGGAGGTGTAATTGACTTTAAGGCTGGTTTGTCCTGCGGGTCACAGAGGTTCAGTGTGACTGATCGTGTGTGTCGGTGTGATTGATGGCTCTACGCCTCGGCTCTTCACTCATCTTTTGTGAGCTCTATAGTAGACACTGCTGTTTTCTCATTAGTCAACAGTTTGTCTCTGCCACCAAATCGAGTGTTTTGGGACGGTCACACTAGACTTGAGTTTCATTCACTTCCATTCATATGCATAGGAACGCAGGAGATTGGGTTCACAAACAAATTCTGACCTGTGAATCTCAGACTAACCCATCCAGCTGAAGACAAAAATAAATAAATACATTTATTAATTAATAAAATGCAAACTCTGCAGGAAAGTAATTTAATTTAATTAAATTTATTTAAAATTTAAAAGCAGAAGCCCTATATTTTTTTGTATTCAAAACAGGGTTATTATTGTTAAGTAATAAAAAAAAATGTAATAAAAAAAAATCATAAATGTTACCAGAAAAAAAATCCGAAAAAAAACAACAACATTTTATTTCAGTTAGTTTCTCATTTTTGTTTGGTTGAAGTACTAAAATAAACTTAAACCGAAAATAAAAATTAAATGCAAAATTAGTCATTTTTTAAACAAAAATTAAAAATGGAAAGTTAAATATTAATATAGTTTAATTAAATCAAATAAATAAATAAAGGAAACCTCATACTTAATTGTAGCTAGTTGCCATTTCTCGTTTTCATTTAGTTTAACTTGATATACTGAAATAACTCAAACTAAAACTGAAATAAAAATTATTAAACTAAATAGACATATTAAAAAAAATGCTAAAATGACAAAATGTTAACTAAATGGAAAATATAAAAATAAAATAAAAAATATTGGTAACACTTTACAATAAAGTTCCATTAGTCAATGTTAGTTCATGTAACTAAAGTAGATAACCAATGTTAACTAATGAACCTTATTGTAAAGTATTACCAAAATATCAATAGTATCTCAATGACACTAAAAACAACACTCATTCAAAAAAATGGAAATGTAGATTGATCATGCTGATGTGTTCAGATGCACTTCACACCTACATCTGCTCACATCAGACGAGTTTAATAAGCACTTATTCCACCAGCACCAGTTATTTCCTCCTGCAGCCGCATGCAGTGCTGCTTCCTCTCACAGGGAGATATTAAGAGGGAAATGTAGTTGTGGAATGGGAAACTACTCTTAGTCTCCTGTCTGTACATGTAGTACAGTAGATATTCATATACAGGCCGTATTCGAGCCGCCAGAGCAGATGAATGTGGTTCAGTCTCAGCATGCCCTGAAAACAGACCCCGCTCATCCGCTTTGTAAAAAAATAAAAAATACTGGAGCAAAAAATGAAAAAGCTCTAAACAAAAGTGTTGTTATTGTTTGCTAAAATGAAACTATTAAAATCGTTCATTTAAATAAAATAAGATACAGTTTCATATTAGATGTCAATTTCATAACTTTCGCAAACCTTTGCAAATAACTAAAATAAGTTCAAGTACTAAAATGACCAAAACTAAAACCTGTCTTTGCAGCGAACTAAAGTTTAGGTTGAAGTACTAAAATATTAGTGTTATTATTGTTAGAAAAAAAAAACTATTAACTATTTTCATTAATTGAAATAAAACTTAAAAATGAAATAAAAAAATTAATAAATTTCATATTAGAAGAAAAAATATTAATCTTGCCTTTGCAACTAACTAAAGTTTAAGTACTAAAATGACTAAAATATTGTTAGCTAAAACTAAAACTATTAAAAATAATTTTCGTTAACTTAAACAAAGCTGAAATAAATAAAATAAAAAATATTAGATCAAAAACTTTAAAATTGAAAAAAATTTAAAACTAACTAATTACAATAAAATAAAATGTAAATAAAAATAAATTAATAATAATAATAATAATAATGACAAAAGCACTTAAAATGTATTAAAATTTATTTAAAATATTAATAAATGCTATAAAGTATATACATATTTTTTTAAATAACACTATATGATGAGTTTGCATACAAAAAAACAAAAAAACAAAAAAAAAAACAATTCTTATAACTTATTAATCTTTGCCCTAAATTCCTAACTCTCCATAGATTAATTTGGTCATAAGAAACACAATTATACCAATCTTTCAGTAACAGCAATGTCTCACAAATGTATTTGTGTGTTGATTCTCATTTCAGTCTGGAATGCACCACACCAAACCAAACCAAACCTGTGTGCAGTTAATAATGCCTCGTTCAGTTTGTCCTGCATGTGTATGAGCTGTATCTCTGTATATCCTGTGCTGTGAGTGGACTCAGCACATTACTCAGTATATGAGCTCTTTAAATAGGACGGAGCGTGTCAAAAGTGTAAAGAGGGATATTTTTAGTGAGTCACTCACAGAAAGCATCTCCTCTGGGGTTCAGCTCCTCGCCCTCCAGCTGGTTTCCTGTGTCATCTTCCTCTTCCTCCTCCTCCTCATCTTCTTCATCATAAAACTTCTCCTCCTCTGGAAACACGGGCGTCTGCTCCGAAGGGCCGTCGTAGTCGAAGGGCTGCGGGTGGAGTCGTGGAGATCCGGTCACCGCAGGCTCGGGGATGGTGTTGTCAAACTTGCCGCCCAGAATACGAGTTTTGGAGGGGAAATCAGGAATAGCTGCAGGATATACAGACGATGCAATTAAATGCATGAGAAAGCTGGAATTAAATCTTTTATGCTGATATCAAATTATATTCTGAAGTCATTCAAATTCAAAAATGCATATATGAAGCTTGATAAATGTTAATTTGATTCATGCAATTGCAACATTATTGCATTATTCATTTAACATGCATAATATACTCCAAGACTATATATGCTTGGATATGCATGAAGCTTCTCCGTGCAAAGTGCATCTGTTGTGCATGAAGCCATTCGCAAAGGTCCATAATTAAGTTGCATGGTAACACTTTGTTAATATATGAAATTGTTCCAACTTCTAATAGGTTTCATATATGTTTTTACTTCATATGTATTTCATATATGGACATTTAATATATGTACTGTACATAGCACAACATATGGACTACCATTAACCAATATTAATAAGTGCTATAAAAATATATTTCTCATTGTTAGTTTATATTAGATAATGCTTGGGCTGCTTGATTATGACAAAAATGATAAACACGATTATTTTGGTCAATACTGTGATCAAGATTTATTTTTTATTTTTTATTTTTTTTTAAATATGATTACTCATTGACTTTGGAAACAACATGCATTTAATTAACTTTTAAATTAAAATTAACAGTTGATTTCCTTGAACTTTAACTACAATTCAACTGAAAAATAAATTTAAATAAAAAATAATAAATTAGTTTTATATATACATATATATATCACTATAGATCAGAACTCAGAGGAAATGTTTTTCTGCATACAGCCGTTAAACGTTTGCTCTGCATCTCTGAACTTTCTCACCATTGAGAAACACATCTGCATTTCCTTTCTCACCTTCCCAGGATCTGTGATAAAAAGGCTTGACTACAAAAACACAAAGGATTCGGTTCACATGAGTTAAAATTATACTCAGAGGTCAAAGTTCAGGAGATTTATTGAGATCTCAGTTAAATTTAAAGGAATAGTTCACATAAAAATGAAAATTTGCTGAACATGTACTCCCCCTCAGGCCATCCAAGATCAGGATGAGTTTGATTCTTCATCAGATTTGGAGAAATGTAGCATTGCATCAGTGTCTCAGCAATGGATGCTCTGCAGTGAATGGGTGCCGTCAGAATGAGAGTCCAAACAGCTGATAAAAACATCACAATAATCCACAAGTAATCCACAGCACTCCAGTCCATCAGTTAACATCTGGAGAAGACAAAAGCTGAAACAAATCCAGCATTAAGACATTTCTAACTAAAATATGAGACATCAAAATCCAGCCACATATTTGTTTAGAGCCGTTTAAACGGTGCTTGATCTGTGCAGATCTCTCTCCTGATTCAGACCAGACCACTTTTTCACTGAAGGAAGCGTTATTATGGATTATGGATATTTTAGCCAGAAGCGATGCTTTAAAGTTAAAAGCATCTTAATGCTGGATTTGTTTCAGCTTTTGTCTTCTCCAGATGTTAACTGATGGACTGGAGTGCTGTGGATTACTTGTGGATTATTGTGATGTTTTTATCAGCTGTTTGGACTCTCATTCTGACGGCACCCATTCACTGCAGAGCATCCACTGCTGAGACACTGATGCAATGCTACATTTCTACAAATCTGATGAAGACACAAACTCATCCTGATCTCGCATGGCCTGAGGGGGAGCAAATATTCAGCAAATTTTTATGTTTTGATAAACTATTCCTTTAATATTTCTGCTATAGTTTCTTGTCTGTTCAAACTCTCATTCATTTCTAAAGAAGTGCAGCTCTGGCACTGTGCAGATAGACAGTACGGAAAAAGCGTTTCCTTTGGCCTTCACTTCAGTGTGTTCGGTACAAACGCAGATATTTACACAGGTGGGATTTCAATCGCAGACTCTCTCTGCCTGACACCTGTGAAATTCAGAAGGCTCTTTAAAGGAAACGCTTTAGAGCTGCTAATGTTTCCTTCAGATTTTTCTTTCCTGGCTGATTACAAACAGATATTCACACAAATGAGCTCAAAATGTAATTATACATCCATATGCAAAATATATACTAGAAGTCAAGAGTTTGGACACAGCTGCTCACTGACTATTTTGCATATTTTGCACTAGAAAAAAAAGAAAACTCTTATGTGTGTGTGTGTATATATACACTGTATATATATATATATATATATATACTTCATTATTTCAGAGTTTGCATGAAGTGAATTGTAGCATTTTAATTTTGTAAAGAAATTCACACATATGCATTTTATTTTATATTTATATTCTACAAAAATAATTGTAGGCATTAAAGAATTTAAGGTCTTTAAGATCATAAGAAACATGCATTCGGTCAGTGTGTCCAAACTCATCACTAGTGTATATTTCAGCCAAAAGCAACCATTTCAATCTATAATACTGCATATTATGAATGTAATTTCACTGAATCATTGCTTTCGGGTTAGATTTTGTCTCTCACCTGAACAATCAAATCCACTGCCACGGAAACCCTGCTTGCATTTACACTTGTAGGATCCATGAGTGTTGATGCACTCGGCGTGATGACTGCACTTATGTGTATTGGACACGCATTCATTAATATCTGAAAAACGACATACACTTTCATTATTTTACATAAAATAAAGCATGAATCACTCACAAATTATTCTTTCACATTTCCTGAGCATCTTTCTGAGTTCAGATCCATGAACCAAACAACCAGCTCCAGAAGACATTTGATTTAAAGCAAAAATGTATTTGATAATTATAAGTTAAAAAAAGTAAATAAATAAAAAATAAACAAAGACTTAAAAAAATGTAAAATAAAAATAAAAAGGCAATTGCAACTTTTTATCTCATAATTCTGACTTTTGGTAAATAAATAAAAAATAAACAAAGACTTAAAAAAAATGTAAAATAAAAATAAAAAGGCAATTGCAACTTTTTATCTCATAATTCTGACTTTTTTTCTCCCAATTGTGAATTTATATCTCACAATTATGAGGTAATATCTCAATTCTGCATTTATATCTCGCAATTCTGACTTTTTTTTTTTTTTTTTGAAGAATTTCACAATTATATATTTTTTTTCGTGGTGGAAACAAGCTTCCATAAAATTCTGCTTCAGAGTTCAGAACAACTTCAAATTTCATACACTTAAAAAAATGATATAATTTACTTTTTCACTCAGAAATTCCTTGTAAATTTCACAAATAATTACAAAGAAATGGCAAGCAGCACACTGAATTGTGAAAATTTGAAGTAGAAGACTAAAATAGTATTTTCTTGTAAAATGTACTCCAATAATCGTTGTTTCATTTACAACTTCAACACATTTTTACTCCCAGAATGTGACTGCCTCGCTCTGTTACAGCATTCAGTCAATCACAAAAGCAAGTTACACTGTTTCTTTCTTACCAACACAGTCGTATTTTCCACTGACGTATTTGAGATCGTAACCCATCTGGCACTTGCAGTAGTAGCTTCCAAACGTGTTGGTGCACTGACGGTTGAACGGACACTGGTTTTTCCCAGTTGCACATTCATCAATGTCTAAAAACGAAAATGAGGGAAACAACATGAGTTCATTAGGCATCTTGACTGTCTGCTTTCATTGATCCAAATTCCCACACCTCATGACCAATGAATTTTCATGATTTCTCCACCTGTTCTTGATTACTAGCTAAGGATAAAAATATATATATATTTATAGACAATACATTCACTAACAAATTCTAGCTGATTAAATATTTAGAGCAAAGCACAACTAGAAAAAAAGGTATATTGACTATATAAAATTCCATGTTTTATCCATGAGAAGATTTTATTTCATGAATTATCTTACAGTACTTAATATTTTGATCTTGTTCTCCAGTATTTTTGTCTTATTTTTCAGTACAAATATCTAAACATTTACTTGAGAAGCAAAATGACTTAAGATATTAAGTCTTGTTTTCTAAAAAAAAAAAAAAAAAAAAAAATAAAAAAAATTCCCCCATTAAAAATATTTTATATATATATATATATATATCTTTTTTTTTTGTTGTATTTTTTTGTTTGTTTGTTTTTTGCTTAAAACAGGGACAAATATCTATTGATGCCAGAACAATAAACTTGATTCAAAGGGAAAACAAGATTATTTTTCTGACCCCGTGTTTCTTCTTGCTTTAAGCAAAGAAAAATCACCCAGTTTTTAAAGAAAAAATATCTGCCAGTGGGATCAGAAAATTAAACTTAATTCAAAGAGAGAAAAAAAAACATTATTTTTCTTTTTTTTTAAGCATAAACTTAAAAAAAATTGCCAATAAGGTCAGAAAAATATATTTAAATCAAAGGAAAACCAGATGGTTTTTCTTGTTTTAGCATAACCTCACTTAATTTTGATACATTTTTTCAGAAAATAAGACTTAACCTTTTATGTAATTTTGTGTCTCAATTATCTTGATTCAGGAATTTACTTGTAATTGAAAAAGAAATGAAGCAGATTTTTGGAGCAGTCATAGAAAACAAACAAACAAAAATAGAGCGGGTGTCATTGAGCTGTTCTCACCCACACAGGTCTTCCCATCAGATCCCAGCTGCAGGCCAGGAGACGGACAGAGACAGCGGACCTCGCCCTGCACCTCCTCACAGCCGTACTGACAGTGAGCCAGAGAACACGTCCTCGAGTCTGCAGTCAAACACATCCACAAACCTTCACTTTAATACAAGACAAACTCAGATTTAAAGGCTGATTGAATTAACTAATGTACAAAAGTTGACATTAGCCTACATAAAATGTTAAATAAAGTCAACTTTTAGGTCATTTAGTGTGAGCATCTGAAATTATTAAACAGCAAGGACTTGTGATGCCAAACTAATGGGCAGCATTGATCACCCATAATCCATTGCACTTGAAACATTTGTTTTTGGTTAAAGCATGCGGACATATCACATGCAAATACTTGTTAATCAGAATTAGACGTTTTAGCTCTATTTAATGTTTTTTCTGATTAATGTCTAAACTAATTTAATCAGTTTTTATTCAATAAATTGTATATACTTGTTTTGGTGCATAGAAATAATATCACCTTTTGAGTTTGTGCAACTAATTGATAGACAAATTAAGCAAACAAACTATTTAGTGGATTTACATCAGATTTGCATTAATAATATGCAATATTAATACCCATTTAACGTCAGAATGATATCTTATTGAACTTGGATCCACTATAAGAACTTACTTTATTATATCTACATGCATAAATTAGGCTTACTAAGTTAACTTATTTTAATGTTTGCTTAAAGCACAGACCAACTTTAATTATTAAGATGACAACATATTTTATATCTAACAATTGTAGGGGTTGCACCGACTAATCGACTAGTCGACTTCAGTGCTCTGCCATGACTCTTTAAGCAACACACACACATTACAGACAGTAGCTCATACATCACGCGCAGATCGTGCGCACACAGAATCATTCAGCGCGGAACTGTATTGTCAACACTGTTCTGTGATTTCTCAATAAAATAGCTTTGAAACTGAAAAGTTCAAGCATATACACTGAACAAAATTATAAACGCAACACTTTTATTTTTGCCCCTATTTTTCATGAGCTGAACTCAAAGATCTAAGACTTTTTCTATGTACACAAAAGGCCTATTTCTCTCAAATATTGTTCACAAATCTGTCTATATCTGTGTTAGTGAGCACTTCTCCTTTGCCGAGATAATCCATCCACCTCACAGGTGTGGCATATCAAGATGCTGATTAGACAGCATGATTATTGCACAGGTGTGCCTTAAACTGGCCACAATAAAAGGCCACTCTAAAATGTGCAGTTTTA